ACTCACGATTGGTGGTCGAGGTGGTCGGCTGGTTGGTCGTGATCTCGTCGCTCTGCCAATTGGATACATTTGGATACAAGAGAACTTTTGGATTGGATACAAGAGATTGGATACAAGAGATTGGATACAAGAGAACTTAATCCCCCAATCAATTCTCAACAAATAATAGTGATAGAAAATGAGCAAAAGATTTGGTTGATTGAAATGAATCCATTCCCCAATGAATCTATCCACTCCCTTTCTCTCAATCTATCAATGAAATGTCGACAATTTATAGCCTCAATCAGCTCATTCCCACCAACCAAAAATCCCTTTTTTTTCAATTTATCATTAAACAGTTCTATTTTATGAAGAATTATTGAAAGATTGTTAAATTTAAATTTAATTTTGAATCATTTCAGTCTTTAGAATGTTTTGTACACTTTAAAGTACTTGGGATTAAAGAATTCTCAAGAAAATGAGCAACAAGATTTGGTTGATTGAAATGAAGCGCTGACTCTCGGGATCACTGCTGTTTTTTGGTCAATTTTAAAGGTTTATCAGCTGAGTGAGATGAGCGGAGAGAAGTTACTGTAATTATGCATCACCCTGTAGTCATTTGTGCACGAAATTCACAAATGCACTTTTTCTGGTACACAGAATTCTTCATTTTTCGAGCGGCGATGCGCCTAGTATCAGAAAAGTCGAGAATTCATTCCCCAATCCACTCCCAATCCATTCTCCAATCCATTCCTCAGTCCATTCCCAATCCATTCCTCAATCCATTCCCAATCCATTCCCAATCCATTCCCCAATCCATTCCCCAATCCATTCCCCAATCCATTCCCAATCCATTCCCAATCCATTCCCCACGCTATTCCCCAATCCATTCCCAGTCCATTCCCAATCCATTCCCCAATCCATTCCCAATCCATTCCCCAATCCATTCCCCAATCCATTCCCAATCCATTCCCAATCCATTCCCCAATCCATTCCCAATCCATTCCCCAATCCATTCCCAATCCATTCCCAATCCATTCCCCACTCTATTCCCAATCCATTCCCAGTCCATTCCCAATCCATTCCCCACTCTATTCCCCAATCCATTCCCAATCCATTCCCAATCCATTCCCCAATTCTCCCTTTCTCAATCTATCAATGAAATCATTGATATTGAATTTTGAGATGAATTTACTTTTTTACATATTCTTGTCAAGAAATCTGTCAAAACAAATCGAGAATTTACAAAAGATCAACAAAATTCCTACAGAAAACGAATCTGAAAGACGGAAAAGGTTAAGTGAGAGAACTTTCTTGTCCTTTCCCCGCGAGATCCAACGATAAGCCTTCGACAAATTTATGACCGAACTGGGGAACGGGGAAACGGTGCTCTTCTTTTCGTGCTCACTACTTATCCTTAGAAAATCTTATACAACACTAGATTCAGTTGTTAGTAATCAGAAAGTTCTTTGGTTTACAATCAAAATCTAATAAGATTTATGAATAAAAGAAAGCTAAAAGAGCAGCTCCGTAAACCGACTGATTACCAGCGATTATAATAAGTTTAAATGATAAGAAGTCAATTGATTCCTGTTCTAACTGAAATCTAGTACACTGGTAAATGGCAAGTAAAGTCAGAAAAGGAGCAGGTCTGTAAACCGATTGATTACCAGTGATTACAATAAGTTGAAATGATAAGAAGTCAATTGATTCATGTTCTAAATGAAATCTAGCACTGGTAAATGGCAAGTAAAGCTAGAAAAGGAGCAGCTCTGTAATCCGATTGATTATCAGCGGTTATAATAAGTTTAAATGATAAGAGGTCAATTGATTCATGTTCTAAATGAAATCTAGCACTGGTAAATGGCAAGTAAAGCCAGAAATCAAATACAAGCCTAGCTTCTGACAGTTCTGTATTTTTAAGTAGAATCCAAGTTCAGCCAATAAGTTCAGCGAATCGTAACAAAGCCAGAGCAGCAATGAAACAGTGAATGAGAAGAATAGGCTTCTAGATTCCAAAAGAAATGAGAAATTGATAGCTAAGCGATAGAGGGAAGAGTGAAAAGACATCTGGAAAGCATTACCGGAGATTGGTGGTGTTTGTGGAATTTCTCCGAATAAAAAGACACCGCCACGAGCCACACGTGTTCCTTTCTTTCATTGTGAGTTGACTATTGAGAAAACAGTCATTTTTAGAGTGTAAATCAAGTGAAAATAAGCGTAAATATGCGCGAAATTTGGCAGTAATCAATTCAAGAATTAAGAGCTTTAAGAGTTCAATTTATTAAAGCCAACCAATCAGCGTTGGCTTGGCTTGGCATATCTATGAAACTTCACATGTTTATGAAGCAGGTATTAGTTTTAGAAATACGAAAACTCAAAGAACTATAGGATTTTTGTTTACTAATTACTAGAAAAGGTTGATTTTTGATAGATTCAGTGATTTAATAGACGATTAAAGTTGCAAATTTATTGGAAAACAAAGGAATTTAAAGGAAAACAAAGGAATTGAATATCTATTCAAATCAATTGAATATCTATCCAAAGCCATTGAATATCTATTCAAAGCAATCTCTTCAAAGCAATGAATATCTCTTCAAATCAATTGAATATCTATTCTATTCGAATATCTCTTCAATTCGAACCTTTTCCTAAACCATAAATAACTCTAGATCTTTATCAAATCAAATAGAAATCAGAAAAAGAGAAATTTTGAAGAAAAATGGAAGTGAATGGTCGTTCGGGGACCAACTGGGAGGGATTGGTGAAGGAAGAAAAAAGAAAAGTTAAGGTCCGGGTGGGTCGATTTGTCAAAAGTGAGCCTGTGCTCTTCTCTTGCCATTCTCGATGCTAAACCCCTGGGATGAGACAAAGAACCTAAAGCGCTTCTCTCAATGTTTCGGCTTTGAATAGTATTTGTTTGAGTTGAGAGAGTAGAATTTCAGAGTTACTTCTTATCGTTTCGTTGAGTTTTTTCGTTGACTTATAAGGAAATAAAAAGCAATATGAAATTACAGGTCAATTCGCAATGTTGATAACTGTAAAATCAAAGGAATTGAATATCGATTCAAAGCAATTGAATATCTATTCAAAGGAATTGAATATCGATTCAAAGCAATTGAATATCTATTTCAAATCAATTGAATATCTATTTCAAATCAATCGAATATCTCTTTCAAATCAATTGAATATCTCTTCAATTCCAACCTTTTCCTAAACCATAAATAACTCTAGATCTTTATCAAATCAAGTAGAAATCAGAAAAAGAGAAATTTTGAAGAAAATGGAAGTTGAAAAATGTTAATAACTGAATATCTAATTCTTGATGCTTTTGTTTATTTTTATTTTGGCCTACATCAAATGAAGGAATGCTTTTCGATTTACATCTCGGTTTTGGGCTGAGATCAAGCAAATCTTGTTCAGTTTTTTTTGCGCTGATTCCGATGGTGTCGTTTAGGGATGACGATTTTAAAATCTTGAGATCTTTCGTCTCAAAGTTTACATCAAAATTGGGTATCCACGAAACCGCGCACCGGCATTATAAGGGTACTACAGAGATTTGTAAAGACGAATTCGTGACCTAGGGGATAGTGGTCTAGAGCTTTCGCTTGAGTTGCTGAATCTATCTATTTACATGACTAAAAGCCGTTTAAATCCTCTTTTTTTTTACTGTATTTTCAGAAAAGAAGATAATTCTCTAGAAAAGGGTGATGAAAAGACAGAAGAAGAAGAAGAACAGAGACTAGAAGACAGATGAAGAAAGTGAAGAAGAGATCGTCTCTCTCCCACAATGGGATTGGGTCTTTGCGGGTAATTGAGCCGCCACATGCAAATGCGGGTGTCAGTGAAGGGTAAACGAGAAGAGAGCAAGGCAAGGCAAGGAGGGCAGAAAAAATGGCCGTATCTCCTTGTCTTGGCCGTGATTCTGGGTGAATTGGATAAAGGGGGAAAGATGGGGGAAATTAATTGGGTAAACAGAGGAAATTAAGTGTGTTATTGTGGGCGGCAAAAAAAAAATCCGTTTTCCAAGACGTGTCAACTTTTAGAAATTTACCGTAATCTGGTCTCAGAATCAATTTCTACTTTTTAGAAATCTTGAAAGCGCAAGAATCATTAAAAATACGGAGTGACTTCGTGACCCGAAAAAGGTGCTAAATTTAATGAATGTGTTTCGTGAATCATTTCGACAAGATCTTGCTTTCAAAGAGAATCAACTTTTTTTTGCGAGTTGATTTGGTGATTGACGAGTATTCTCCATCAAATGATCACCCGCTGAGAACGGGGAATGCAATGACAAGGAGGGGATAAAGGGGAACAAGGGATGGCGCGTGCCCTTTACAAGAAGTCAACTAAAACTTAAATGAGGGCTTTAAAATCTGCTTTATTCTATTTGGATGTTTAGAATATTCAGTCAACCATCAAGGTTGTTGACAGTGTGTGGCACTAACAAAGGGTTTAGAGATGATATAGGGCCAAGGCTGGGATGAGTGAGAGGAGGTTTAGCGGGGATTCTTCACAAGCGACCATCTGCGGCTTTGAGAAGATTTACCCTAATAAAATACTCAAATTCACTGTCATACATTTTTATCATAATTAAATATCTTTATCGAAAATATCATAGATACCAATTGCATAGTTAGTATAAACTTTTCAAAGTCCACAAACATAAATGGTGAAATCGATCAATAAAATAAATTGTGTAGCAAGAGACCGTCGAATACAAATAGAACAAAACATTAGGTTCCCCGTATAACTATAAAATTTTTGAAGTTACAAAGAGAACAAAAAAGGATGCTAGGCAAATTTAAGAACGGATAGCTGACCGTTTCCTAAAAGCTCATCTGGAAAAAAGAGTTAGCAAGTAAAAATTGTCACAAACACTAAACGGTCATGCAGAGGATTTTTAGATAAAATACAAGAAATGCAAGGGATTTGAGTTGGCGGATTGAGTGAGACAAGTGATTAAATTAATTTTCAAAATGAATACTGAACATACACGTTTCAAATTTTGCAAGAATCTAAGCAGTGAGCGGTGTCGTGGTCGTATTCTCGTTGGGGAGTCCAGCGTTGAGCTTCTTCTCGGCAAGTGCGATTTCCTTGTCCTAGAAGAAAACGATTAAAGCAAATCAAATGTTGCTAGCAATAAAAATTATAGAAACTTCTACAACTAAATAGAAAATTTGAAGTAGCCTTCTAAAAGTCCTAAACATGCAAGCTGATGAACAACGTTCTAACGAAAAGACTCACCAAAACTAGTTTACAGCTTGAAAATGACATTTGATTATGGTTATATGTTTTTAAACCATACCTTATCGGCTTTGGCTCTATTGGCATTTTCTGCCTCCATTCTCTTGTAAACGGGACGGAAGAGACCGATCAACAACAAAGCAAGAAGAGCAGCAATCACCTGACAATTTTTAAAAGTTAGATAGGCTAATCATGGTTTAGCTTTGAAATTATGCTGTTTCAATGGTTCAATTTAAAATTAATCATTACCTCTAAAACTCACCGAAAAGACCATGATTGAAACGGTGGCATCACTTGGCTTGTTTGCCTTATCGTTATCGTCAACTCGGCAAACCTAAAAAGTATTTACTATTAAAGTAGTTCACCAGTAAGCTACCTGAATCTTTTCCCGATCTTGGCCAATGTCGCGGTACAAAAATCGCATGGTCAACACGTAGAACAAGGATTGAATCTAAAAATGAATAGTTAAGCAGCAACATGTTAAACCCATACTTGTCCCATCAAAACGATCAACCCGGTGGAGGTCTCCTCAGAAACAGGATAAGTGCATTCGGCCGAGAGTTGAAGACCAACAGGATAAGTCGCCAATCCAAGCACACCAAAGAGCAAAACAGTGGGAACGATCAGCCAATGAAGATTTGGTCGAAGAGTCAACTAAAGTTAATGAAGTTCTGGGTTGAAGTCAACTCAAAAGTTCTGAGAAAATCTTTGTTATAAACAAAGATTTACCTGAAGGAAAGTGAGACCAAAAATCACAGCTACTGCCATTGCAATTTTGATTGTTTCGGCATAACGTCCAGTACGATCAACAATAATACCTGAAAATGCTAAAATTCAAATAAAATCCGATAAAACGACCTGAAGCTGTAGCTCCAAAGACTCCACCGACGATCATCAAAGCCGAACACAATCCGGCAAAGCTATTACTAAAAAAAGATTCGTGTGATAAAACAGAGACAGAGCTTTAATCTAACCTGTATCCTGATGGGCACAATAATTCCGAGATAACTGTGTAGAGACAATTGAACATTCCGATACCGCCACCCATTACGACCAGAAGAATGATGTATTGCACGTTCTTGAAACAAGCAGCGAATCCTGAATTTATTCATTGATACTTTATTAGTCTAGTTTGAAGTAGTTTATTCAGAATAACTTTTTGCATCACTAACTATAACTTCTTTTGCTAACCAAAACACTTTCCAACTCTATATGGTGGTCTATCCAAAAGCTAAACACAACGCACCAGCAGCAAAATCCATCTGTTGCACTCCGGCAGAAAAAGTTGGTGGAATTTTTGGCTCGGATCGTTTGACAACAATTGTAGCTAGAATAGCGGCAGCAATCGATGGGACAAATGTGAACGCATTCAAGAAGACGACATGGGCAGGTGCTGTTACCTAAATGATTTTTTTGCAACTGGTTAACATCAAAAACTACCATTGCAGGTGAAATGACGCTAGCCATGAAGACACCGAGTGGATTCGACATCACCCCAATTGTGGTGGCAAGTCCGCGCTCCTTCTCACTGAACCAAGCGCCGGCAACCTATAACAAATAAAGATTAGCTTTGTCGTACTCAAAGTTTCCAGATATTTTGTAAAAATATTACCTTCGTTGGCAAGAACATGATAAAAGGATAAGCAATAGCAGCAATGGCTTGTCCACTAAGCGCAACGTATCCTCGATAGGGGTTAGCTAAGAATGAGGCGGAGAATCGAATGAAGCCACCAATCCCATTTGTCCATGCTAAAGTAGACTACTAATTGTCGTAAAAAGATCATCACATACCTGCAATCAAAATAGCTGTCCGCAATCCAAATTTTCTGCTCAGCCACATTGCGAGGAATCCGACAGGAATCGTGACGGCCATGTAAACGACGGAGAAACTAAAAAAGATTGTTTCATCAGATCGAAGCTTACAAAGTGCAGATTGGAATAATGGACATCAGCTATCATTGGCCAAGTCTAGTGCTATCGATAATATTAAAGCTAACACTTACTATCCAGCCCAGTCGCCTTCATAGAAAATGTTGACAATGTTCGACACAGACGCGTAGGCGATCCAAGAGATCGTGTTCGTGTTGTTGAGCAAGGCGACCACCAGCAAAATCATCCATCGTCGTCGATACACTCTAAAGTTAATGAAGTTATAGAATTCAACAAATTCTTAACAAACCTTAGTTGAATGCCATTTTCTTCTTCGTCTTTTCCACAACCATTGCTCTAAACAAAGCAGCAAATATTTAAAATCACATTTGCTATAGTAACCGTTTAATTTTATGTGACAATTTTAATGTAGGACTTCAAAGTACATTCTAAACGACAAAATTTGATCGTTTTTGACAATCACCTAAGTAGTTATTAACTACCTTTTTACTTTTAATTTATCAAAATCTAAACGAACCTTCACTGATGGCTCCCGTTCACATGGCTTGTAGGGGTTCTCGCTCTGCAAATCAACACTCATTAGAACGAATAGTAAAAGACTTCAATGAGAAACTTTTTAGGTATACTAGGAATAGAATCGTCTGAATGTTGTTGAATTTTGCTCAAAACGGGAATTTTCGTTCGGGAGCCCTGAGTCACCAACGACAATCAGCCCTCTTTTCAAAGTATGGATTGGTTGGCAGACGTCAAAACGTTCCTTTTCGTCGTTTTTCTTTCTTTTTCTTACCAATCAACCTTTTTCTCTGAAGTAAAGCTCTTGGCACACAACTGTTCACCGGGTGGTTTTCTGATCTCATTGATATTTTTGACTCGGACCACGTGGTGACAAAAACTACCTACGTCAATAGTTTATTTTAACTACATTATGGTCTCCTTTGTGTTTTACATTAAAATTTTATCAAAACAAACCTTGATTTCTTTCAATTGAATGTCGATCTTGTCGGTGGCGATCTCTCGGCCATCTTCCATCCTGAATTCAAAGATTTAGAAAAACTAAAAACCCTAAAACAAAAGAGCAAAACCAAACGAAAAGAAAATCAAATTTGCATCGAATAGGAAAAGCTTTCGGGAGTAGAGTTATTGTTGTCAAGGGAAAAGGGGTGAGAGAAAGGGGAAATTTGGGAGGCACGTGGATCGATAGGATGGAGAGCGGCCTTTGGGGGAATACGCGGAGTCCATTCGCATAGAACAGACAGAGCACGCACTATCCCTTAGAAAGATAAAAAGAGAGCGACAAGTCAGTCTACAGAGCATCTTTCGGTATTCCCTTGGGGTATTTGGCAAGGTCAATGATAAAAAACGATTAGGATATGGATAAAATGGTTTAATGCACTTGGGAGTCAAGTTTGTATTTAAACTGTTTAGCTCATTTTCTTTTTTTCCATTCTTGTAACATTGCAAATGTTATAATAAGCTTGTAACTTGTAAACCTTCTTACTGGTAGCTCAACCTTAGTATGAGACAAAATATGCACACGTATTGATCTTTTCTTAAATTAGAAATTTAAGAGAACTCAGCTTTGGTAAAATTTTAATATAAGACGAGATCAATATGCATGCACAGGTTATTTAATGCCAAGATCGAGCTAACAAAAAGATTTTTACCTAAAATTGTAGCTATTATCCAAGGTTGAGAGAGAAAATGAGCTTTGATTTATTTGATTCCCAAGTGTATTAGCACCGATAAAATCTAACAAAAATGGTAGTAGTGATCAATTTAGATAAAAAGAGCATCAAAGACTAGAATTTAAACCAAAACTTTTCCTTTAAATAGGAAGTAAAGCTCAACTGCATATCCTCAAAACCGACAAATTAAAAAGTACGGTAGGAGATAAATTTGTTGTCATTTAGAAAGACAAGAGCTGTGTTTTTAACGGTTTTTCCGAAGTTTTAAAACAAAAGTTTAACTTTTTAGTTTCTAGAATCTTCATAAAGCTTATTACTTTAAAAAAAAGGCATTTACTGGCTGCTAATTTCCCTCACAGGCTCCCATGGTGATTGCTTTTTCGGGTTTTTTCTTTTAATCCAGATTAATGAGTCTATCGCCAATGGGGAACTGATCTCTAGAAACGATAGGAAAATATTTGAAAACGATTTGGATACAAAATTCTTGCTGTTGAGGAGATTTCAAAACATTCAGCTCTTTTTTTCAAATTCTTTTTGATGAGTCACGGGTATTCAAATAAAGAAATAAAAGGGATATGACTCAAAATTGGAAAAAATTCTTTTGAAACAACTAAATGAGGATTTTTAGGAGAAAATTTTATGGAAAATCATATAACTGGCTAGAAATTGTTATTCTGGTAAAGACAAGGGAAATTTGAAGGGAAAAAGAGGTATACAGTGCGTTGGACATGGAAAAATCGATATTGCGTATAGGGATGGAATGGAGGACAAGGACGATCTAAAAGAGAGAAGACTAGGAAGACAATTTTGAGAGACTTTACAAAGTTAGCTCATCCAATAAAACGATAAAACCTTCAGAACTTTACTCTTTTCTTTTCAAATGGTACAAGTCATCTATTAGTTTTGTTTTGGCTGCTCTTTGTGCTCAATAAAAACACCTTTCCTAACATTTCTCATTTTACAGCGATAAATTGAGAACCAACTGTGCCAGAAAGTGTAAGTTTTGAGGCCACTAAAGCCACTTTACTTTAACAGACTTACTCTAGCTTATTTTAGCATATCTCATCATTATCAATAAAATACTAAAGGGGAAAAAGAAAGGCAAAAAAGTATTAGCACTCTCAACTGTTTACTGTTACAACAATAGAAATTTCATCAACTTCTTCATTGGGAAAACAAAGCGAATCATCCGATTGATCTAGGCAAATGATAACAATTTTGTGAGAAAACTATGAGAATGCTTTAGCCACTCTTTATTTTCTCAGCCCGATGAACAAAAAAAGCTTCGAACAAAAAAGAGGCGGCTGATCACACCACAGATTCTCGAAAAAGATAATAAATGGCGAAATTGTGTCGTGGTTGTCAAGATAGATTTTTCAAAATTTGAAAAAACTTTGAAAAGACATTTCTGAGGAGCTTTCAAATTTCGAGTCTGGTATCACTTATCAGAGAGTTCGCAAAGAGAACTTTGCTTCGTGGAAATTCTCTGAACTTTGCTCGTCGGGAATGGAGAATTTGGAAACAAAACAAAACAAAACACAGGTTTAAAGAAAAACTACCTCAACTACAACAGACAGACAGACAGATAGATAGATAGATAGACAGACCGACAGATAGATAGATAGATAGATAGACAGACAGATAGATAGATAGATAGATAGACAGACCGACAGATAGATAGATAGATAGATAGACAGACAGACAGACAGACAGACAGACAGACAGACAGACAGACAGACAGACAGACAGACAGACAGACAGACAGACAGACAGACAGATAGACAGACACATAGACAGACAGACATACAGATAGATAGATAGATAGACAGACAGACAGACAGACAGACAGACAGACAGACAGATAGATAGATAGATAGACAGACAGACAGACAGACAGACAGACAGACAGATAGACAGACAGACAGACAAACAAATATCTCTCCTATAAAAGAGAAGTGATTGTAGAGATATTGAATTTGATGAAGTTAACAAAACTGAATTCTGAAAGGAAATGCATAACTTTAGTTAGTCATTGGTAAGTTGCACGCTAGCAATTTGTATCAACGGCAAAAGATGACTCTTTGAACCATTTCATTTTGTTTGACTCATTCATAAAGCTTTAGCAAGAAAAGCTGTGTTGTTTTCGATTTCTTTGAAAAGCAAGAAAAGCTGTGTTGTTTTTGAATCACTCAACAACATTAAAGTTTTCGATTTCTTAAGAGTATGTGATTTTTTTTGATTTTTTAAAATCTTATCGATTAGCTTATTTTAAGCAATTGAGATATCACTTTTCAATTTAAATATTTATTTATAATTTACAAAACAAAAAATCCATACACCTTTTCGAAAAAAACGACAGGCGTTGAAAGAAAAAAAAGAAATAAATGGCCACCAAAATATTGAAGAATCAAGACAGAGAAATGAGATGATTTAAGAAATGAATTATTTTATAAAAATGCACATGATCTCAAAAATATTTTAAAGCTCAAGAAAGATTGCACAGTACCCGAGTATCCGTATTTAAAAGTGATAGGAAATCTTTGAAGAAATTGAAGATCAAGATTGATAGATGGCTTGGGCTTTGGTCCTGAAATTTCAAGTTTTAAAGATTTACAAGTTCTACAGTCAAATTCTTGTTAAGGCTAGATCTTTAGATTTTTAGATGAACTTTAGATCCTATACTTTCCTAAATAGCTTGGAATACTAGCATACTGGCATATGGGGCTAGTGTAGTAGCCATACTGTACGCCGTACGAGTTAGCCTTACAGTAAAGATTCTTTAGATAGCTTTTAAAAGTTAAAACCTGGAAACCCTCATGATCAACATGTAGACAGCCAATGAAGTTAAAAGGAGAAGAATTATTGTGAGTGAAGTGGCGAGTACAGTAAAAGCTCCAATTCCAATACAAATCCCCTGACCACTGTGCAGAGCTTCAGGAACAGCAATCTCGGTATTGTTGTTATCTAAGAATGAGTTTTAGAAACAGTTAGGATTAGGCTAAAGCTCTTAAACTATTGGGTTGGTGAATTGAAAGCTGCCGGACTTTGAACTAAAATTTCTTCAACATAAAACCATGAATTTATTCCAAATAATTTCCATTATTATTGACGACTTCTGCCCATTTTACAGGCAATTTGCGGATTCCTCTTTCGTAGTAGGATTTTGGTTTTGAATCGAAAAACTTTCAAAGCCAATTTTTCACTGCTTCTTCCGAATCGAAGTGTTCTCCCGCAAGCTCATTACTCATGATCCAGAATAAATATTAATCAAAAGGGGAGAGGTCCGGACTGTATGGGGAATGCGCCAAAAGTTCCCAAACAAGGCTATTTATTTTAGAGCGAGTCAGTTTTGCAATATCAAGGCGCGCGTTGTCGTGGATGAGAACGATCTTTGACTTGGAGGGCCTATTCTTCTCCAGGCTCATTACTCATGATCCAGAACTTCCCAACTGTCCACTGTATTTGATTGCATTAACGGTCGTCTTGCTATCCAGCAACTCCCAGTACAAGTGTTTGAGACAAGCGTGAGACTCAAAAATCGAGGACTGGAGACGTCCCAATGTCCCAGTTTGAGCACTTTCTTCAAAAGAAACCCATTTTGGTGTCAATAGAAAAGTTGTAGAGAATCAAAAATTAGGCTTATAGCCGAATTTCCAAAAAGATACACTTAGTAGTTTCGCTTAAAATGCAAGTTTCGTGAAAGTTTCGTAAATTTGGCATTTCTTGAAAACCAGTTTTTGAATCGTTCTGAAAATTTGGATATAAGCTTGATTTTTGATTCTCTACAACTTTTCCATTGACACCAGAATGGGTTTCTTTTGAAGAAAGTGCTCAAACTGTCACATATGACAATAGCCGGCAGTTTTCAATTCACCAACCCAATATTTGTAAAAGCTTACCATTTGAATCATCAGCTTCTAAAACATAAAGCGTTTGTGAGATCAAATCAGCGTCTTTCACAAAACCTCCAGCTTTTCTCCTCTTTCGTATCAACTAAAAAAAGCCTTCAGCCTTCAACTTCTCTCTAATTACCGTATTATTCGTAATCTCGTTCTCAAACTCGCTCACATGTCGATGATTCATATCAAAACAAATTGGTGGCTAAAGATTGAATAAATCGATCTTCTATCTATCCACTTACTGTAACCCCATCACATCCTTGTTCCTCTTTTAGACAAAGACGAATCTCACATTGAAATCGTACAGCGACTCTATCGGCAAATTTGAAAACAAATGATTCTCGATAGGCCATGTTTAAAGCTTCTACATAAGTCGGATCACCAAGAAGAATTCGATCAGTGTGACAACTACAAGGATTACATTAAAACCTCAAAAAAAAACCCAAAGACTAACCCATGCTCATCAATGATCAACTGCTTCTCTCCTTGTCCATCCTCGACATAACAGCTATGGACAAGCACTCCATATTGCTCTAAAGCTTTATAGAGAAGATCATTGTTTTTTCTGCTCAAAAAAAAGCTATATGTGAATTGTTTTTTAAAGCTCTTGAAGGTTTTTAAAGCTCTTCAAGCTTGTTAGCTCTTGAAGCTTGCTAGCTTTTGAAGCTTGTTAGCTCTTAAAGCTTGTTAGCTCTTAAAGCTTGTTAGCTCTTGAAGCTTGTTAGCTCTTGAAGCTTGTTAGCTCTTGAAGCTTTTGAGCTCTTGAAGCTTGTTAGCTCTTGAAGCTTTTGAGCTCTTGAAGCTTGTTAGCTCTTGAAGCTTTAAAGCTTTTTTTTAAAGCTCACCAGAATCACACTCCCATCGATGCACGACCTGATCACCAACTCGAGCGTAACGAAGAATTTGTCCATCAATTGTATCTTTTCGTATTGTGTAAGTACAAGTTGGCATTGGCATATCCATGTATAAAGGTTCGGTTGGTAATGGGCTAAAGGTATAGATAAATTAAAGATACTGGTAAGTCAAGAAGTACTATAGTTTACATTTCGCCTAAAGTTTACAGTTAAATGGCTGTAGCAAGTTATTGGGGGTACTGTAGGTTACAGTTAACATTTAACTGGACACTGTAGTATTGTAGATTACAGCTAAGTAAAGGGTACTGTAGTTCAGCTTTAAGTTTAACTTAAGTTAAGCGACTTTAAATGATACCTTATTAAAAAGAGCATCAAAATATCGATCTTCATCTTTGCTTGTGTTTATTCATGTTATTCAGATAGTTTTCAACAAGGATTAAGCATAGATTATGCAAAAATAGAAGTGAAAGTATTGAAAGCGAGAGTTATGCAATCAAAATGGGGATCGATGAGGGATTTGGGGAGTATTTTGACACACAGCTAAGGCTTTCCCACAAAAAAAAGGAAAAAATCCCCATGACAAAACCGGATTTCTCAATACTCAGTGATTCCAATTGCATAAACGAAATGTAAAAGTAGTCATACCTAACATCCAACGATGCTGTAACAGTATGTGACATCTCTTTATACATACATTTTATATGATAAGCTCGATCGACCTTTGTTACAAAGAGCTAAAAAAAAAGAATTGTCTTAGGGTTTTGGGGTTTAACTTACTGGATGAAAACTGATGACAAGAACTGTTGAGAACATCATTCCATCAGGAGTGATCTAGTAATTGATACTTTAAATCAAAGTTCTTTAAAAGCTATTTTTCCAGATCAGTGAGACAAGGTTGGGTCAAAAATTAGGCCTGTATGACTGATTAAAGTCTGGCTGACTGTTTGACTGACTGTCTGGCTGACTGCCTGGCTGACTGCCTGGCTGGCTAACTGCCTGGCTGGCTGGCTGACTGCCTGGCTGGCTGACTGCCTGGCTGACTGCTTGGCTGTGTGTCTGGCTGATTGTCTGGCTGACTGTCTGGCTAACTGCCTAGCTGACTGTCTGGCTGACTGCCTGGCTGGCTGACTGCCTGGCTGGCTGCCCGGCTGACTGCTCGGCTGTGTGTCTGGCTGATTGTCTGGCTGACTGTCTGGCTAACTGCCTAGCTGACTGTCTGGCTGACTGCCTGGCTGGCTGACTGCCTGGCTGACTGTCTGGCTGACTGTCTGTCTTTACCGTAACCTTGTCTGTCTTTACTGTAACCTTGTCTGACTCTTACGCCTCTTGCAATGGCCTACCATTCTCTGCCTATCCATATTACAAGCTCCATGATTCAGCCGAATCCCACCAGTCGGTTTCCCATCTTTCGACCTTTTACTGTAGTCGACTCGACATTCCGGCTTATTGTAACTGCCTTTTACATAGACTTTTCCTGAAATTTATGAATTTTTGAGACTTCTCTTATCTAGATATCTGCTTCAGTAAACTACAGAAACTTTAGATTTCTTTTTAGCTTCAAAACCAACCTGTAAACTGTCTCAGTGACTCAAACTCTAATTCAATGTCCTCCGAATTGCAGTGAATCCTTGGATTTCCAATTATTTGGTTATCCAGATATGAGAAAGCCTAAGAAAATTGAATGGATGAGATCAAAATGTAGATGAAAATGTTACTTTCAATATAGGCGATAGTAGGAATAGGATCAATGATCGTAGTAATAATCGCATATTGGGCTGGACTTGGTCTCAGTGACTCAAACTCTAATTCAATGTCCTCCGAATTGCAGTGAATTTCCTTGGATTTCCTTTCTTTCAGCAAGCTGAAAAATTATTTTAGATAAAATATAGAATATAGAAAGATTATCATAAAACATATAAAAGTTTAAAGTGAATTTCATTCGAATTCCAGGACAGTTGGATTGGACTTACTGAATTTGGACTTACTGCAGTTGGACTTACTGAATTTGTTGACTTAATGAATGATTTGTTTTCCAATTCAAGATCAAACAAATATTCATGTTATGGCAATGATTCAAGAAGTGATTGAAAGAAATGATTCGAGGTCAAGGTTTGATGTTAGAATGGATTGGCTTAAGATTGGAGGGATGTAAAGTTTAAAATCTTCTTTAGAAGAGCAATTTCTTTGAGAATCTTCTTTTGGTAAACATATTTGCTAATTTTTAACACTGAAATCAATGAAAATAAGTACAATTTTTAAACACAAAACAAAATCATCACAGATTACATAAAGAAAAGCAGAAAGTGAATTTCATTCGAATTCCAGAACAATATCTGCAGTTGGACTTACTGAATTTGTTGACTTAATGAATGATTTGTTTTCCAATTCAAGATCAAACAAATATTCATGTTATGGCAATGATTCAAGAAGTGATTGAAAGGAATGATTCGAGGTCAAGGTTTGTTTTTGTAAGAATGGAATCAGGCTTAAGATTGGAGGGATGTAAAGTCCAGGAAGCGGAACGAAAGAATGGGATAGGTTGAATGATAAAAGAACAAGAATAACAACAAAACAATCCAAAATCTGAAGAGATAAAGAACAAATTTCGATATTTTTGGACAAAAAGGAAAACATTCTGATAATAAGATGAAGAATAATTACTGCTTTATCGTATTTTGAATTGTCTAAATGTTGCTGAAGAACTTAAACGCATTTAACTGTTCAAAATGTAAAGTTTTCTTAAAACTTGCATGTCAACTACAGTAAATGGACTAGTCAAGAGAGTGAATTTGAATTTTGAATTGTCTAAATGTTGCTGAAGAACTTAAACGCACTTACATTTTGAACAGTTAAATGCGTTTAAGTTCTTCAGCAACATTTAGACAATTCAAAATACGATAAAGCAGTAATTACTCGTCATCTTATTATCAGTTCAAAATGTAAAGTTTTCTTAAAACTTGATGTCAACTACAGTAAATGGACTCGTCAAGAAAGTGAATTTGAATTTGAATTGTCTAAATGTTGCTGAAGAACTTAAACGCACAACAGTTAACTGTTCAAAATGTAAAATTTCTTAAAACTTTCATGTCAACTACAGTAAATGGACTAGTCAAGAAAGTGAAAAGATCGCGAAAAATTTGCCAAAGTGTGGACAAAAGGAGTCAGGAAGCGTGAAGTTGAAGAAAAAGACTTTCTAAAGTATAAATTGAGAAATAAGGAAAAAGGAAATGTCCGAAGCCTTGAGGAAAAGAATACAAGAAAGAATTACAAGTCAACGCTGAATTACCGATTGCTTCAATGAGTCTTTCAACAACATTTGGTCAATCTTTTGTGAAAGAATTGGCGATTGGGTAAAGAGATATGAAATTTTTAAGTTATTTTTACATCAAGAACAAGTTAAGGACAGCTTGTCAAGTCCTTAACTTGTTCCTTAGCTAAAGAACTAAAGAATTAAAGAATTTAAAGATAAAGAACCTTGTTCTTTATTTTAAATTAATTTAAAAACCATTTTATTAGTTTTTTAATCAAATTTTTTATCCAATTTCTTTACAGAAAAATTTCAGGTATTTAAAGCTTATTTAACACGCGCGGGCCCAGAAAAGGTCGTGGTCGCCCCCTCCCCCCCCCGCGCCCCAGCCCGGCCTCGGAGTACACGGCAACACACTTCTGCCTAGTAAATGTGGAGAGGTTGTGATCCTAGTGCGGGCAGTCAAATCTTTATATTAACACGACAACAATGTTTTTTTAAAAAAACCGGGAAAATTTTTTTCGACAAAAAATCCCCGACCTCAGGTGACAATTCCCAGGCGAACGAATATGTGTCAGACAGGAATGTGTCAATGTTAAACGTTAAGTATTTGAATTAAAGAGAAGTGAAGAAAGAAATTTGCCAGAGGTTTGCCAGAGAGGACTTTGAACTGGTTTTGGAAGTTAAAAGCTATTTTTGAACTCTGATGGATTAACGAAGAGTCACTTTCAATGTGTTCCAATGACCTTTGCTTTTCGAATACTCATTATTCAAAATGAATTACTCGTACTCAATTACTTGAATACTCAATATTCAAAATACTTCAGTAAACCACAGAAACTTCCGAATTCTTTTAAACTTCAAAACCAACCTGTAAACGGTCTCAGTGACTCAGTGAAAGTTCAACTTTTTAAAGATTCATCAGCTTCACGGCTTGAATACTCAAAATCAAAGGTCAGCTCAAAGAATTCAGGAATTGAATTGCTAATAAAGAGTTGCTTAGTTGATGATTGTCTTGAATAGTTTCCAACTAACATCTGAACAAGTTTCTTGTTTACCAAAGCTTTCCTTTATTCAACAATCTGCTAATCCAATTGTAATCAAAGCTGATTGCTGATTAAATAGAAAATTGAGAGAAAAGATTGGAATCAAAAGATTTTTACTTTTTTGTTCCCTCTAACCCTAATTATACTTTAGCTTTGACTCATGCCTAATACCAGTGAATGACTTTGGTGGGATGAGTTCTTTCTTTCTTCTCCACCTTTCTCTCCTCAATAATTTCAGAAAAAAAAAAAAAAAAGATTTTTTTATTAGTTAATTAAGTTAATCAAACCTAATTTTTTAAAAAAACTTCCCGAATTCTTTTAAGCTTTAAAGTTCAACTTTCTTAAAGATTCATTAGCTTAACGGCTTAAAATCTTCTTTTGGTAAACATATTTATGAATTTTTACACTGAAATCAATGAAAATAAGTACATTTTTTTAAACACAAAACAAAATCATCACAGATTACATATTCAAGAAAAGCTTGAAAGAACTTTTTGTAAGAATAGAATCAGGCTTAAGATTGGAGGGATGTAAAGTTTATTCAACAATTGTAATCAAAGCTGTTTGCTGATTAAATAGAAAATTTTTTTTCCTCTTTTTCTTTTCTTCTTTTTTAAAATTGTTATTTTTACCTGAAATCTAAAAGTTATAAAATTGAAAAGCAACTTGAGAAACTTGAATCTAAATAGTTTCGTGAAAATATTTCGTTAAAAACTTTTGAATGCAGAGCATGAAATGAGTTTAATGTTGAAAGTGACTCGTGTAACTCCATTTAAAAGTTAATTCTCTATAGTTGGCTGTCAGCAAGAGGTTGTAAGTCTGAGAGAGTCCGTTTCCCTCTTCCTCCCATATCCAATGTCATATTGCTTTCACCTAGCAGACAAAGCACCTTTCAACAGAGTCAACAATCTTCCCTCTAACCCTTTCTCTTCACTACCTGTACCCTGGAACCATTTTGGGATCGGATTTCTTTAGATGGAACACCAAATATCCTCTTTTCTCCTTATTTCCTTGATGAAAGAGAACCATGTTTATCGGTGTGAACATGAAAAGATCGAATAACTAACATTAGGTAATTTGGCAATGGAATTGAGTGAGTTGTGAGTGAGATGAAAGAGAATAGAAGTTGTAGAAGTAGCAATGGTACAAAATCTAGCTGGCCAAGCAAGTCTAGGCTGGCCAAGCAAGTCTAGCTGGCCAAGCAAGTCTAGCTGGCCAAGCAAGTCTAGCTGGCCAAGCAAGTCTAGCTGGCCAAGCAAGTCTAGCTGGCCAAGCAAGTCTAGCTGGCCAAGCAAGTCTAGCTGGCCAAGCAAGTCTAGCTGGCCAAGCAAGTCTAGCTGGCCAAGCAAGTCTAGCTGGCCAAGCAAGTCTAGCTGGCCAAGCAAGTCTAGCTGGCCAAGCAAGTCTAGCTGGCCAAGCAAGTCTAGCTGGCCAAGCAAGTCTAGCTGGCCAAGCAAGTCTAGCTGGCCAAGCAAGTCTAGCTGGCCAAGCAAGTCTAGCTGGCCAACAAGTCTAGCTGTCTAACAAGTCTAGCTGTCTAACAAGTCTAGCTGTCTAACAAGTCTAGCTGACCTACAAAGTTTGTAAGCTAGGTCAGGCCAGGCGGTAAGGCTAGAATTAGACGCAAGCTTTTACCTAGCTGGATCCGATTTTTGAACAGTAAACAACAAAAGTGATCTCAAAAATAGGATCTTAGACTAATTCTTAAACCAAGGCGACTTAAAGAAATACTCAAAAAAACAAACAAAAGAAAATTTCGGCTTCAGATTGTCTGGTAAAAGCGCGAAACTCTGGTGGATTCATAACAGAGACCCCATTTGAAAGCATGTAAAGAAAATGACCTTGGATCAACCATTGAACACCTAACAACAAAGAGAGCAACAAAAACGAGATAAATCTGATGAGAAGGATGAGGGGATCATTACAAATGTCCTTCTGCAAATCATCGAAATGAAGGGATTCAGAGAGTTGGGCACAAAAACAAAGCCATTGACCTCATTCAAATCATTAAACTTCATGAATTCTTTATCATTTCAAGTTTTTATTGTATATTTTTCAATTTCAAACTTTGACTTTTACTTTTAACTTTTAAAACTTTTAAAGCCAAATCTCCTTTAAAAAGTAACAATTGTATTTACAAAGCCTGAGTCACTGTGTTCTCTGTGCTTCCACGTAATCGCTTACCTTCTGGCCCTTTCCTTTACAAGGGGTCATAAAAAGGACCTCCCTTTGACCGTCCTTGTTCATTCCTATGAACATATACTAAAATTGGAACAATACAGAGAAGATTAGCATGGCCCCTGCGCAAGGATGACACGCAAATTCGTGAAGCGTTCCAAATTTTTTGTGTTTTTAGTAGATGAACAACCAAACAAAATGTTTTTCTCAAAGAATTTATGAGAAATTTTCTAATTTGAACATCTCTAGTTGGATTGTCCCCTTTTTTTTTTTTTTTTTTTTTTTTTTATTTCAAAAA